CCCCCCCCCCCCCCCCCCGGGGATATTCAGGCGTTATTTTCTTGTCGTCGTATTTAATCTTCTATCTGTTACTCACCCAGGTAAGAATAATGAGAAAGAGACTTGTCAGAAAGACATTTGACATGATCCAGGATCTTTCTGAAAGTGATGACAAAGAGGTAAGGGGCTATTCAAATTTCTATTCCTCCATCCTCCTCGTCTAGTTATTTTTTATATTAAGCATCGTCTTATTTAGGATTACAAAAAATTCTGGGAGAATTTTGGGAAGTTTTTGAAGTTAGGATGCATTGAAGACACTGGAAATCACAAGAGGATAACGCCATTGTTGAGATTTTTCTCTTCCAAGAGCGAGGAAGGGTTGGTCAGCTTGGATGACTATGTTGAGAACATGGGTGAGAACCAGAATGCTATCTATTACTTGGCAACTGATAGTTTAAAAAGTGCCAAGTCTGCTCCTTTCTTGGAGAAATTGGTCCAGAAGGATATAGAGGTATGTACGTAGTTTGCAGAATCTACCTATGCTATCCACTTCCGGCTATAATCTAATCCTTGATATCTAAATTTGAGTCGATGTTGCTTGATATTATGTATCATTTCCACATACAAAAGAAAACAAATGTTTGGATCCTAAAATGAGAGTTGGATAATGATCTGCTGAGATATCTGAGCATGTTGAAATATTGTGGGTCAATTTTTAAGTTGTATCTGTTTATTATATTCTGTTGTTAGCACATTCAATAACATTTAAAAATGTGGCCTTTTGCTGGATGGGATTTTGTGGGAATCTTTTAGAAAATTTAATGCTGCTTTTCTAGTAAGTTATAGAGGTTTTAGCATCTGACAGCTACTTGTGTATTGTAATTGGTCGTGAATAGGTGCTATGTTTAATTGAGCCAATTGACGAAGTTGCCATCCAGAATCTACAGACTTACAAGGAAAAGAAATTTGTTGACATCAGCAAGGAAGATTTGGAGCTTGGTTAGTAATGTTTAATGATGTTCAAATGACTTCAAAGAACAGATTTGACCGTTAATTCCCCATGCCAAACTCTAAAAAGTCTCCATCGATTTTTTGTGATAGTTGGGCACTCAAAATGTTGCACTGTTGATTTCCTTGCTCGTAATGGTTTTTATCCTTTTTTCTAACTGACAGGGGACGAGGATGAGGTTAAAGAAAGGGAAACTGAGCAAGAGTATAATCTTCTTTGCGACTGGATAAAGCAACAGCTTGGTGATCAGGTTGCAAAAGTGCAAGTGTCAAAGCGTTTAAGCTCATCACCATGTGTGCTTGTTTCTGGAAAGTTCGGATGGTCTGCAAATATGGAAAGGTCTGTCCTATGCATGTAGAGCAATGAAGTAATATGTAGAGTTTTCCCATTTGGTAAAATAGTATTTTTCTTTTTTCCCCTCTTATTTTCTTCTATTCAGATTGATGAGAGCACAGACACTTGGAGACACTTCAAGCCTCGAGTTCATGAGGGGAAGGAGAATACTGGAGATCAATCCTGGTCACCCAATTGTCAAAGATCTGAATGTAAGATTTTATGCTTTTGTTTGAAGGGCAGATGTAGATGATGCTTTCTGATCTAAAGAAAGTTCCAATATTAGGTTCCCAGTTTTGTATAATCAACAAGAAAACTGAATGTCATTTGATGATCTGATGGTCTTTAGCGACAACTTAATTAACATGAAGTTTGGAAAATTGAAGCCTTAATCAGTGG